TTATAAATAGTTACTATTGTAATGGTTATAAATAGTTACTTTTGGAAACTTCTAGACTCTCCTCGGATGCTTATAAGCAGCTCGCTAGTCAGGTTGTTGTTGTGATTTGGGACTTCTTTCCCTGTTTGTGAACTCTAAGGCCCTGTTTATACGTCGCATTAGAGACGAATTTAATTCACACGAATTTAATTCCAGCAATTTTCTTCGACAGTAAAGCGACGTCTAAAACGAATTGAATTCGTATGGCAAATTAATTCGTCCTAGTCGTTTTATCCGTGTGCCCCAGACGTATAAAACGTCTGAAATGCGTCTCAGTTTTATACGTCGCTTTTCAGTCGCATCGAAGTAAATGCATACATTATTTCTCGACGACATAAATTATTCCACCGGTTAATTTTGAGCCCACGCTCACAGTTTTTACCTGCATGGCATGCGTAAGGGGTCAGGAGTTCCCGCGAAAATAGAAAACATGGTGACTGCAGGAGCCCTTTTCCAAAGAGCGTTCAGTCAGACTTGTTGGTCACGCTAGGCTAAAACGAAATACAGTTGTATTTGATGTGACAGACCTGTATGTGTTCGTTTGGAATGTTCTGTGGCTGAACTGGGTGAAGACGCGGAGGGAAGGGAGCCGGGAAAGCGAGTTGGGTACTGTATTCCTAGTGCAAGAATTTATACACGAAAATCCACTCCTCGGAGCCCAGAAGCATCTATCTTGGTAAATTTAGTACAAATTCCGAAGCCTTCGTCTCGCCAGAGCAATCTTTAGCGTTACTGCCTCTCTGAACGCCGCCATGTTGTTTTTGGAAGTTCTCCGCCGACAAAAGTCAATGCGGGCACAAAACGACATCGAAATTATATTCGACGTCTAAAATGAATTGACATTTAATTTCGTCTCCCAGACGAAAAAAAAAACATCAATTAAATTCGTCTCATTAAATGCGACGTATAAACCAGGCCTATGCTTCTAATCTAATTGATCCTCACTTTACTTCTGTGATGTTAGAGACTGGCAGGAGGTTGGTCAGTCGAAAGGATCGACCTCGAGTTCAATCATGCATCAAGAACCGTGGAAGAACTAACCGTGATCCGTATCGCGTTTACTCCAAATCGTGAGACAAGAATTCTCCATGGGCAAGAAAAATAACATGAAAATGCAGAGCAGAGTGTGTGCAAATCCCTTCCCAGGTGCCTCTGTCACCAAAAGGATCAACCCCTTTACCTGAAGTATTGTTCCAGCGTGGTACATCAAAAAAATTCTCTTCGCGCGGCATACATACCGCATTTTATCCAGTAAACCAACATTTGTTCTTATCATAAAGAAACAGAGATCCACTGTATTACCTTGACCTTCTCGGCAGATTGCTGTTTGTTAGCAAAAGTGGGACACGTATCAATCTATTACCGCAGGTTTTAATTAATTGAGGGGAGAGAGGAAGAGATAGTAAACACAAAGTCATCAATGACTGCATCTACCCGCTGCATCCATTCATAATCTTACATCAACACTTGAACTTGAGAGCCCTTTTTTTTTTCTAGCAAGTAAAATTGAAAAAAAAAAAGACAAAAAGAGGAGGTAAAGGAAAAACTGTACATGTAATAATTCTACCAAAATAGAACAATTAATAAAAAAGTGGGATCAATCGTTCCTTAATCAAAATGGTATATACTGTGGAAATAGATACTGATGTGTGATGTTGGCATATATATCAGTACCTCTTCGAGTGTCATACAGGCTATTTTCAATTAAGTAATAGAACCTTTCTAGACCATTTTAAGTCAAAGCTTAACATTTGTCGATTCATACTTTCTCAGCAAAACTTTGAATAGCTGATAACCAGACAGGTCGCAATTAGAAAGATAGGCGTTAATTAGGAGATGAACGCCAGATTCTTAGACCCGATGATGTTCGAAAGGCCGATGGTAAAAAAAATGAGTCCCTAGATCGTGGTTATAATAGGTTAGATAATTCGTTCTCTGTGGTCTAGAGAGACTTTAAATTCCCGCTCGACTATATTTTAAATACAAAAATTTTGAATTGCAAACAGAAGACCTTTTATCGTCTATCCTATCTGTTTTTTTTCTGAGCAAATTTACAAAGAATTAACTGCACTTAAGAAATGATTTAAATCAGCTGCGTCTTAAAAGCACAGTCTAATAATTGTAATTAATTAGAATAACGCATTATCTTGTAACCAAACCAAAAATTTTTCATTTTATTTTTCCAAGGATTCTAACTTTAAATTGTCGGCCTATTGACTTGTCTCTGTACATAAGATTCTGTTGTTTGATCTTCGTTGACGCGACTCTTATCGAATATTTCTAACTGATATCCTGTAATGCCTGTTGCGCAATTAACTAGATTATTTTTCCAAGATTAATGCTTTCTACACCTAAATAGAAGCCATAGCGTAAATATGGATTGATTTTAGACGACATATCGCTAGTTCTGAGTTGCTGAACAAACTTTCATTTTGCGAAGGGAATGTCTTGCTCACAAAAGACGTACCATCTTGCTTTGCAGGTTAATTTCTAGTTTTCCTTTAGCCACAGAGCTTTATTGATTGCCCTATTTTTTGTAATACAGGTGTAATTGACCAAAATTGACCTGCACTCTATCTCAGCTAAAAATCTTTTGCTTTAAGAAGTACTTGAATTATTGGTTTTTTTAATGAAATTTACTCGGTTTTGTAAGATATTGAAGGAGAATTAACAATATCGGCAGGTGTTCTTATTTCCCTTTATACAAGCGGTTTTGAAGCGGTATGTACTAAGTTACCCTTTAGCATCACGTCGCCTTCATTCTATTCTTTTTCATGTACAAGGGGATTCAGAAACTTTTACGATTGACTTTCATGCTGGCGCTTATTCAAGAGTTCAAAGTGGCGCTGCATCTATGGACAGAAAACAACACTGCTCTAGTAGGCTTTGCCTTCAAGCAACTCTATGGCAGAGACTGGTTAAACTGTATTCAGACCTGCCATGACGAGCCAGAATGTATCTCTTACAACTATAACAATTCAGCAGGCAGCAATGGCTTGTGTGAGTTACACTACTGTGGAGTTGAAGAATTGAGCCACAGAGACCGGCTATTTCTCTACTCGTTTGGATTTGTGTATCAGAAAACAAGGATAGGAAAACTTAGTTTTACTTTTGAAATACACAGTTTGAGTTTAAAACCGCCTCCCGGTTAGCTCAATTTGTTAAGCACCGGACTGTTGTGCGGGAGGTCGAGGGTTCGAGCCCTGGTCGCGTTACTTTATGCTGTAATTAAATTCTTGGGTTTCTTATTCGGTCTCTGCTGAAGCTTTCTGCAACCGGGATAAACTAAATAAAGTTTGTTCCCTGATTTCTTAAGTGTCCCAAAATAGTGGAACCTAAATTCAAGAGACACCCTTAAGACTATAAAAAGCGTTCCCTCGATGGACCTGCGTTTTCAAAGGAGTTAACAGATTCAAAGGCCACGCGACTTTTTTTTTCAAGTTGGCGCTCAAGTCTGAATTTCTTAAATCTTGGTGTCTGCCGAGCAGAGCATATCTTTTGCTTTGTTTTTCCACACCTTTGAAAGTAGCATGTCCGAGCTG